TTGTAAGTGAGGGATTAAGAGCTCAAATGTTTTCTTTGCCCAGGCAGATCCCCCAAATGAGTGAAGCAAGCCAGTTATATAGGTAGAAACATGATAGCAGGTGACTTCTGACCCTGAGTCTCCTCTTAGCAGGATGGAGGGGACTGTGTTGACGTGAAGACCTTCAGCTTCATCAAATATAGCCAGGCTGCTCTACAGATCTAGATGTTTGCAGGGCCTGTGTTGTAAGACCGTTAAGCGGTTCAAGAGAAACCAGAAACACAGACCTGCATGGAGAGTTGGTAGGCTTCAACACTGACAGCTAAATTCAATTCCTTTTCAGGCAAAAGAATTGTGAGGGTCAAACAGAAGACATGTGTATGATAGTTCTAGTTCCAAGGTCCTTGGTTTGCAAAATCTCCTATAAATGAGGAGTTTTTTAGGAATGCAATAACATGTCTTAATTCCTCACTAATTCAGAATTCTTTAATTTTGCAAGTCAGAAAATCCTCTTTTCTCTAGCCATCTCATTCATTCTTTCTTTCATTCATCTACTTACCTGGTAGTCATTTAGTTGTACTTGCTATTGAGTGGGTCCTGTGCCAGGTGCAGAGGACCTAAAAATGAATAACCCATAATCCACATGACTTCTAAAGGCTTATGCTCTCCTAATGGCAATGTCATACTTAGGAAATACATTTTATGTTGGTAGTGCTACAACAGTTGGTCACATCTATTTTTTTTTAATTTTTAATTTTTTATTTTTTTTAAAGATTTTATTTATTTATTTGACAGACAGAGATCACAAGTAGGCAGAGAGACAGGCAGCAAGAGAGAAGGAAGCAGGCTCCCTGCCGAGCAGAGAGCCTGATAACGGGGCTTGATCGCAGGACCCTGGGATGTGACCTGAGCTGAAGACAGAGGCTTTAACCTACTGAGCCACCCAGGCGCCCCGGTCACATCTATTTTTGAGAGATGTTCTTAGGAAGCTTGCACTATAGCTGGAGTGGTCTACAGTCTAGATGGGGCAACAGGAGTAGATGGTACGGCTTTCCCAAGACAAAAGGCGTGAAGAAGAGTTATGAGAAGATGTGGTTCAGCAGAAAAACAATCCCAAAGGACTGAATTCTTTTTTTTTTTTTTTAAGATTTTATTTTTTTAAGAGAGAGAAGGAGAGAGAGAGGAGGGCCAGGTGGAGAGGTTCAAGCAGACTCCCTGCTGAGCAGGGACCCTGGGATCATGACGAGAGCCAAAGACAGATGCTTAAACAACTGAGCCATCCAGGTGCCTTCCAAAGGGCTGAATTCTGAATAGCATTTGTAGCACCCTTGGCAATTTTAAAATGTTAACATTCCTGCGGCACTTTCTCAGCTTTGTAATTTCTGGCAAACAAGAAAACCTACTTCGTCTTTGTGCAGGAGGGAGAGCTCCAACACCGAAGCGAGAGCTTTGAATTTCATTTCTCAGGTAGAGTCAAGACTTAATGAAGTGATTTAACCACATTTGGCATATTTCCTTTTTTTTTTTTTTTTTCCTAGTTGTCCAGGTTCTCATTTCTCCTGTTGGTTTGAGGGCATTTATCTGTCTTTGTTAGAGAAGTTCACATTACCTTGGGAGAAGCAGTGACATTTCTGAGAAAGCCACACTGGTAACAAACACTTCAGGAGGCTTTATATCAGGTTGGTGGCAGCTGTGATTAAGAGCGTAATAAAAATCAACTGAACATTTTATTCAAATACCACTTGTTGATTATCCCACAGTAGTGAGTGAGTGAAGGTCTAATTAATCTGTTATACAATATCCGGGACATGAGTTTCCATCCAGGATAAAATATGTTTTGTCTCATTTCACCTGAGCTTTTTATTTCACGGTTCCTCCTGTGTTGAATAGTGTTCTGATGATAAAATTAGTAACTTTTTTTTTTTTTGAGGCATAATGGTAATTTGCTTTCCAGAACACTTATAACCAAGTAAACAGGCTTGGATAACTATGGCCTTCAATATACTCCTACTCTCTGGATAGCACACCACTCACTTAGAATTTATTTCATTTTTAAAAAATTTTTTTTAAGCAAACTCTATGCCCAACGTGGGGTTCGAACTTATGACCCTGAGATCAAGAGTTGCTTGCTCTACTGACTGAGCCAGCCAGGCACCCCTGTAGAATTTATGTTAATGTTTTAGTTTCACTGTCTCCCTTCTGATTGTGAGATTTTCACAGCATGTTTTATTGACCCCCTCCTCCCCCACACTTAGCCACTCTAGCCCTCGAGCGCTACAAAATGCCTCCTCCATTCAGCAGACGTGTCACTATTCAGCATTATTTCTCTCCAGTGCTTCAGTGTGTCTTCCCGAATCAGTAACATCAACATGTCTACCTGATGCTGCTTCACTCATCCTGGAGAGTAGGGGGTCTAGAGTCACCCAGAAAAATCTTGAGTCTATTCCATACTCGAAGGCAATGCTTTAATCTAAACCTTCTTCTTGATTCTCTCCCTCAGATTACTTAAATCTTCCAAGTGTCTCCCCGCTCCCCAGCCTTCTGTATTTTGCACATCAGCCAACATAGACTTTTTCTGACGTGAAAATCTGATCACATGTGCCCCTTTTCTTCTTTAAAGTATCTCCGTGGTTTCTCACTGCCTGGGGAATGAGCCAGACTCCTCATCTCACACATAAGCTCCATTGGATTATGTCTGCAGTGTGGCCCTTCATAGCCACACCGGGCACTCCTGACTGCTTCCAACCTTTGAATGGGGCACTCAGGCCTTTCGTATGTGGCTCTTCCTTCTGTGGAATGGCACACAGCCCTCCCTTCCCCTGGTTCCCCATCCCATCTCCTGAGTACCTTCCTGGCGTACTACCTCTTCATCCTTGCTTTGAAAGCATAGCATGTGGAACTTTCATCCGGATTCCAGTCATGGTTCTGCCACTTACTGGTTCTGGACCTGGAATAAGTGTCATTCTGCCTCTCCGTGCGTTGGTGTCCTCATCTGTGAAACAGGGTAATACTAGTGCTCACCTCACCAGATTGTTGTGAAAACAAAACAAATACATGTGGGGAATTTGTCACATGAGTATATAATTATGATGGCTAAATCTATTAATCTTCAAATATCACATTTTATTTTACATTTGCAGTCAGTTTGAGGATAATACAAAGGCAAACCTACTATGATAAGCAATCATAGATAGAAGAAGGCATCCCAAAGCCAAACATAAATGATTTGGGGATTACCAATTAATTCGGATTAGTCATTTTCTGTTCTCTTTTGTTGATTAGGGTAATTAACACATAGTTTTTAAAAATTCAAGATTAAAATGAAATGAATTTAAATGAATCAGTACCTATATTGGAAAGAAGGAATGGGATGTAAAAATAGGTATTACATAATTGCTCAATTACCTTTCTAGTCTTAGCTGAACATTTTCTTGGAAGAGTTCCAACATTTTAAAATTTTAGGATATTTATCCTATTCTATTTTAGGAGACCAGGAGACTGAAAATTTGACATTGTGCAAACTCTGATGATTTATATAATTACCCTACTGCATAGCCCAGGTATGCTAAAGAGTCTGTTTCCTCCAGGACCAATTACCTGGGTCTAGGATTTGAAATGATAGTAGGGTCCAGTCCTGAGCGCTATGCTGAGGATCTCAGGAGACCTGATGAACAAGAGAAAGTAAGCACTTCCAGCTGATTTCTGGAATGCTGTTTAGATCTCTCATTGGCTCTGGGGCCAGATCATGCTTCTATTTAAAGCAATGGCCTAGGGCAGCCAGGAGTCCTGATGTTATGATACCCAGAAGTATCTATTTCATAGTTGGGAACAGAGTGTAATGTTTGGGATTTAGTGAAACTAGAACTTTGGATAAAAACAGGCTCCATTCTTGAAAATCTTCTGGCACAGAGGGAAGGAAGCCTGAAGAAACGTGAAGCAGGATCTCCTTGGCCTTCCCAGCCTCCGGGGATGGCATGGTCCTGGGCCTGAGGCCACCTTGCCAAGTTTCACTGGAGGATTAGGAAGTAGAAGCTCTTCTACTGAGTTACTGATCGTATCAGGACCCTCCTGAGAGTGAAAGCCGGGGCAATTATTTTCCTACTCCTGATTTGCCCAGAACAATAACAGAAACAAAGAATGTTCTTGGCACACCGGGTACTGTGGTTACCCTGAAGCTTGAATGAGGAGAGATGGTGAAAGAAAGGGGGCAAACAGATTTATTACAAATGATAGCTCTCCCCTGCTCTTCTTTTGTGTGGGTCCCTCATTCTGCCTCTCTCTTTTTCTTGCATTATCTATGTCTTTCTTCTGCCTTCTTAGGTTTAAGTGTATGTCTAATGCTCAGATGACCCATGCAATAATCAGATTCCTCTTACAGAAGCACAAAACCTCTTTTCTGTGAAAATGTCACTGTGTTGTAAACTACATTATAACAACATATCCTAGAAGATTACAATGTTTGTGAAGTCCCTGTACATTGACATTATTACTGTTTGCAATAATGCCCAATGCTTTATGTTCCAACTAAGCCTTTACTATCTCTGGAACATCTGCATTTACTGCAGGTCTAAGCACGATTTGTTTCTTTTGTTGGAGCTTTTCAATTTGAAGCCTATTATGAGGGCGGAGACATAACTATAGCTTCATTTCCTCTATGTGAAATCTGTCAGTGTGCTTTAACAATTCACTCATTCAATAAGAAATTAATAAGTGTCTATACTATACGCCAGACACTGTGAGAGTTTATGAGGGACACAAAGATACCTAAGATGTGGTCTCGTGCTCAAAGTATTCACCGCTGCCAATGTGTGTGTGTGTGTGTGTGTAGACTATCTGCCCTGTTTTTAATTACAAATCAGTTCAAATCAAATGTTTACACTTGGAAGACTCTACTATGATCGGCAATAATATACATATGTCATTGTTTATATATTTAAATGAAATGTAAACATTTATTTTTCCTCACTTCTACCCCCCCCCCCCCCCGCCCCCATCACATCCTGGGTGTCCTTTCTATGAAGCTGAGTCATCCAATGGTGGCTATTCCTGAACACGAAACTCTTGATTCCAAAGAGGTAAATGTAAGATACAATTAGAGATGTAGTTATCCATTTCCATGTGATACTAGATTGTGGAAATAAATATTATTTAACAATATTAATAAGATCGTGCTTTTTAATCCCCTCTTTAAATTTACATTTTAAATTTTTTATAGATTTTATTTATTATTTGACAGAGAGAGACACAGTGAGAGAAGGAACACAAGCAGGGAGTGGGAGAGGGAGAAGCAGGCTTCCCGCTGAGCAGGGAACCAGATGTGGGGCTTGATCTTAGGACCCTGGGATCAGGACCAGAGCCAAAGGCAGATGCTTAATGCCTGAGTCACCCAGGCACCCCATACTCCCCCTTTTATTTTAAAAATAAAACTAACTGGCCCACTTTGTGGTGTTCAGAAGCAACTGATACTTGAGTAAGTAAATTTTTGCTTCTTGACATGAAAGGTGGTTCTAGAGGATCCCATATGTGTAGCATCTTGATCACAAACCAGCTCTTTCTATACCCATGTCCGCCTTGGAGCTTACCACTTTGGATTCATATGCGAAACCCTGTTGCTGTCTTTTGATGGTCAAAGTGTGTCCGCCATACTTATGGTGGGTCTTCTGAAGAGTATCACCAGTATCTCCTGGTGTCTCAGTTTCAGCTCATTGGAGAATGTCTGCTGTCACTGAGCCCTGCCCCTGATCCTTTGGTAAATTCGGCTTGCGTCAGGTAGCATGTAGGCAAAAACATGCCAGCTGAAATGGAGTCTCTGATTTTCATACAAATATGTAGTCACTTTCACATTTTGAGCTGACGAAAAATAAATAAAAAAAAAAAACCAAACACCAAAAACCCTCTGTATTTCTAGAAATACTATACCAAACAGGCAAAGAAAAAATTCTGTATAGGAATTTTGATTTTCTGTTGATCAAGAGCAAGAATAACTAAACAATGTTTTCTTCTTCTACATCCTTCCAGACAAAGTGGTAAATGTGAGGGGGAAAAAAGTGATTTTTAAAGGACTTATCTTTCAGAAGGGAGTTAAGAAAGCCCATGCTTTCAAATATCCTTGCAAATGAGACATGGTCAAAAAAAGAAACATAATACAAAAGAGAAGTAGGAATAATAGAGTTCTAAATAAAATGTAACTTTTCCCCAAGCAAATTTTCTATAATTTTGGGCATCTTATCCACTTTTCATAAACTGATGTTCCTATTGTTGCAAATTTTAAAACCTTTGTTATATGGGACCATGTGGCTTTCTGCTGTAACATTAGGCATTAAACTAGAAAATTGTGTTATGAATAGATGTGAGTTTGTATCCTTGAGCACATCTTTGATTATTTTTAAATTGGATTATTGGTTCCATGAGTATGGACATATGGGAAAATTTTAATAGATATAGCCAAATTACATTCCTGAAAAATTATAACAACTCACCCTAGAAGGAGGCTGTTTTTACAGCTCCTTTCCTGTACTCTTGCCAGGACTGAGAATTATCATAATTGTCAATTTACTGAGAATTTGCTATATGTTGGAATATATTATACACTTTATATGCTTTATTTTACTTATCTTCACAAAATGAAGTTAAGTACGCTTACTTCCATTTTACAGATGAGGAAACTGAGACTAAGGGAAATCAGTATATTGCCTAAAGTGAAATAGCTGGGAAGTATCTGCTTCATCAGGAATTGAATTCAGATCTGACTGCCTAGAGCCTATACTCTTAAGAACTCTACCATACTCTGTCCAGCTCTCTATCCAAATCTCTATCTATGCTATCTAAATATTCCCCCCCTTTATTTTCTTTTTAAGATTATTTATTTGAGAGAGAAGAGAGAGAGAGAGCAAGAGATCACAAGCAGGGGACTAGCAGAGGGAGAGGGAGAAGCAGGCTCCCCACTGAGCAGGGAGCCCGATGAGGGGCTCCATCCCAGGACCCTGGGATCATGACCTGAGCCAAAGGCAGACACTTAACTGACTGAGCCACCCAGGCACCCTAAATCTTTCTTCCTTTTAAAATCATGCCTGGGTGGCTCAGTCAGTTAAGTGTCTACCTTTGGCTCAGGTCATGATCCCAGGGTCCTGGATGGAGCCCCAAGGTACACAGCTCGCTGCTCAGTGGGGAGCCTGCTTCTGCCTCTCCCTCTGCCTGCTGCTCCCCCTACTTGTGCTCTCTCTCTCTCTCAAAAAATAAAATCTTAAATAAATAAATAAATAAATAAAATAATATTTTAAAATATTGATTATTTAAAAGGAATTATTTTTCACATTTCTTTGCATTTAAAGAATTCTGTATTTTTCTACTACTTTTGTCTATTTTGTTTATGCATTATGTTATACATTTATCTACTGGTATGGTAATATCTTTCTTACTGAGTTGTAAACTCCCTTTATATATTAAGGATATTAATTCTTTGTCAAATGTGCTAGCCCTTTCAGTGTGACAGTAGCAGATTATGTAATAGTAAAAATTTGGACAATTATGTCCAAAAATAGAATGAATACATTTTACACATTTCAGTGAGTGTTTTCCAAACTTTCCCATTCAGCCATTGACTTAACTTGCTCTGTGTTTCTTGTCACTGATTAATTAGGTTCTTGACTTGGTAACCTGCAGAGGCTTATCTTCTCTCCACTCTTAAGCCATTCCTTCTGCCATCTGAGCCTTTTCTTTCTTTCATCTTTTTTTCCAAGTAATCTCTACTCTCAACACGGGGCTGAACTCATAACCCCAAGATCAAGCGTCCTGTGCTCTACCCACTGAGCCAGCCAGATGCCCCCAAATTTTACAAATTTTACGCATTTCAGATGAACGTAAAAAGAAATAATCAAATGTTCTTTCTTTCAAACATCATAATTTTGGCTCAAACTCACATAGGCTGTTTCTACACAATAAGAGTGTTTCTGCACAGGAATCGAAAATCAATTGGTTATTTAAAGAACAAAAACATCCAGTTCAGATAATAAGTGCTGAATTAAGGACTTTGGAATGTGTTGCAAAAAAGAATAGCTTGGTGCCATATTTGCATTTTTTGCATCAATTATCATAATTTGAGAGACAAAACTTAAAATTAAGCTAGTGGGTAAGATTAACAAAAGATGATTTCAATCTCAGGTTTGGAATATATGAGAGTAAAGAAACTAAAGTTTGAAGTTTAATATTTATGAGAGATAGTGCGTTACTGTTGGTATTAAAAGAAATGTAAATAATTAAGCAAAAGACCATTTTATTTTTCCAGTGTGCTATATTTTACTTGTTAGTAATATTGGCACATCTTAGAGCAATTTCACAACTTCTTACAACTCCTTATGGTATGGTATGTGGCAGGCTGTAATACTGACCCGTACATTTTCCACAAACCCTCTTATTTTTTATTTATTTACCTACATGGCACCAACTGAGAACATGATCTGTTTTTAATAAAACAATTCTATTCTTACGACTCTATGGCCTAAGGAGTAACCCATTCCAGTTAAATACCCAGTGAAAATAAAGAATTGTAGAGGAAACTTTACTGGATCTCAGAAATCCCCCCTTGGCTTTTCTTTCATTTCCTAAAGCTAAGTTTGTCTTTCTTACTACCAGAGTCCCACCTCTTATTTTCAGTCATGTTATTTGTAGATAACTAGTTTTTGTAAAAATTTGCTTTGTAATTCCTTTAAAAACTAACAGACTTCAGATTTATCTGATTGGATTTGCCCCTTGTTTGTTTGTTTCTTAACATATAATGTATTATTACTTCAGGGGTACAGGTCTGTGAATCATCAGTCTTACACAATTCACAGCACTCAACATGCCACATACCCTCCCCAGTGTCCACCACCCAACTACCCCATCCCTTTCACCCTTCTCCCCTCCAGCAGCCCTCAGTTTGTTTCCTGAGATTGAGAGTCTCTTACGGTTTATTTCCCTCCTGATCCCATCTTGTTTCATTTTTTCCCTTGTTTTTATAAATCATATGATTTTAAAAATACACTTTAAAAGAACTAACTCAAAACAACATTTCCAGTTATAATCTAGTTCAGGGGTTCTCAACTCTGGCGGAATATTAGATAGACTCCCCTGGGACTTTTTAAAAGCCCCAGTAGCAGGATTTCACTCTAGGCAAACTAAGTCAAAGATCTCTGAAGGGAACAAAGGGGGTGGTTGTTTGAAAATCTCTCCAGGCTGCACAAATGGGTGACAAGAATTGAGATTTTCAAATTCTAGCTCCTTTCTTGATAATCTAGGAAAACAAATAAGTTATTCGATCTCGGAAACAAAAATTTGAAAGTAAAAGCAGGAGAATCCTCAAGAAATTTGTTTCAGGGAATTCTTCGAATTAATAGAAAACACGGGGTCACATATTTCTGCCTACCATGATAAAGATTTAACATGTGCTTTCTTTCACCTGGTAGGTTAATTTTGAGAATTAACCCAATTAATTTTGAGAATCTGTTCTACATTAAGATTCACTGAAATTTTCTTAGTAAAACCTAAGATTTCTTTGTGTTTTCTTTGATATTCCACAAGAGCTTGGAAAATCTTTAGCCTGGGCCAAGCTGAGTGTGGGGAGTTTCATGGGGGATAGTACATTCCAAAGGATTTTTTTATTTAGCATTTTATATGGTACTTTAAAAAATCCTTGGCCAGTGATGAACCCTCATACAAACAGATGAAATCCCTAAATAATTGATTTGACCTGATCAGTTTTCAAAGAAGCTCACTTTCATACTTGTCAATTGTTCACTCACAGCAAGGCAGTAATTCCAAAGTAGGTGTATCTATAACACCATCTCATTTATAGCAAACTCCCTGCCTGAGGTAAACGATTTCCGCGTAGAGTTGCTTAGAAGAAATTAAATTCTAGTTGCAATAATTGTTTCTGATCGTATTTATCGTGTCTTGTGAATTCAGCAACTCTTTGATCCACAACTACTCTGTAGCCCTCTTCTCTTTCCGCAGGCTTAATTGTGAACGTTGTAATGGGGGAAGAGATAGAATTAGACCTGCTGCTCTTCACATCGCCAGCTACACGCAGCCCTGGGTCCATTTTATTTTTCACTTGAGGGTCAATTGATTTCCAAAAACATGATTAGATGCAGTTGACTCTGACCTTTTGGATCCACTTGCTCTTAACACAACTTGAGAGCTAATCATTCACCAGCTGCCCATAAACACATACTAGGCAAATTCTTCTCCTGTTTTCTCATTCCTTCTCTGTGCAGAGTTTTGATAAACATTTAAGAGTTGGCAAGATAGCAATAGTGCTAGCAAGGTGACTACAACTGATTTGCTGCTGTGGTGCACGTAAGCATTTTGTGCCTATTTTATTTCAAATTCCAGAACCTCCACTGACGTTTCAAATTCTAATCTTAGGGGAAAGAACGTCTCCTTCCTTTATCTCCAGTCTCCAGATGAGAACATAGGGAAGAGAAAATGAGTGTCTTGTCCATGGAAGCCACTCTCATTTTCTGGTTTGATTCAAGGGTAAAAACGAAATTATCAAGAGAAATGGGCCCACTCTGTTCCCTTGAGGCAATTTCCCATAAATGTTATTTCTCAAAATCAGGCTTTGATAAATCCTGGATTGCTGAGTTCAAGGTTGTAATCTCGGGCAGGAACTCAGGATCCGGTTATTATTAACTGCTGATTAAAAGAAAATTCATAGGCTTTGATAAACAACTGCCTAGAGAGCCAGAGTAAATTTATCTAATAAACACAAATAACATGAACGCCCAAATGGTTAGCCACCCTGCTTAGGTATCCAGGTAGACAAGGCAATGAAAAAGAGAAGGACGTTCCTAGAGCAGGTTTGGCACCCCCATTGAAATGACTTTCTTGGGTTATAAGCCTCCTGCCTGTTTTGGGGAAATATAATTTTAAAAAATTCTGCTGGCCCAGAAATCATCTTCTTAAAGATAGTAGAGAAAGGAAACACTTTTGTTATTAAATAAGCATTAAACTAGAACGTTATATGCATCACAATCACACAGAGATGGCAAAGACAGGAAGAAATCTCACCCTTCACATAGTCAAGGGGATACAACCCATTATATACATGTTTGTCAAGATAAACAATAATTCAAGGCATCCTCAAGTAATGACTTGGCAGTAGTATTTATTATACATAGTTCATCCTTAATTGCCTCGCAATTGGGGCAACCATGTTAGTTAATTGTCTTTATTACAAGCAAAAGTACACTTTTCATATCTTTATGATAAGAGTTAGTTTTACCACTTGGAGCCAGGTGTCAGCTAAACTTAGCCAAAGTTAGGCTCTTACCCTCTCTCAGAGACTAGGAAACAGGGAAGCTGTCTCATCTGGACATTTATATACAAAGGAATGGTTCTCAAAGTCCTTGAGAAAGACATTGCTGGGTCTTAAAGCTGACAAAATGCCCATTGACTTTTCAGAAGAATGTATATGTATTTCCAAGGGAGTCAATTACAGTGACAAGTTTTTTTAAAGTAGATGCTCTATGAAGGAGGGAGGGAAATTGCTTCCCATATTTTCTTTTATGAAAGATTTATTTATTTACTTACTTATTTATTTTAGTGGGGTGGGGGAAGGAGCTGAGGGAGAGAATCTTCTACAGACTCCCTGATGAGCAAGGAGCCAGTGCAGGGCTCAGTCTTACCACCCATGAGCTGAAACCTGAGTTGGATGCTTAACTGACTGAGCCACAGAGATACCCAGCTTCCCTTATTTTCAACAAAGAGAATGAAGCCTCTTCTTTTTAATTTCCCTTTGTTCTTTCAACTGGTGGACAAGGGGCAGATCTGCAATCTGAAAGTCTTACTCTGAAGTAGTCAATAAAAAGACAAGCAAGTGTCATTATTTTTCTTTTCTAGGGACACAGCTGAATCCAATGTAAGAGAGGTGGGGGTTTTGTAAAATTGAGGTCCCTCCTTCAAAGTCATCTCAGTAGATTATTGTTGGTTTGGGCATTGTCATGAGTCATGGTAAAGCTGAGCAAAAGTCAGGGAACTAAGTGGACTTACATTCCTCTGTGTGCTAATTTCTCAAGATAAACAAAATAAGATCAGGGCTTATAATTATTTGGAGCTCAGGTTATCCAGATATTAAATGTTTGACCCCAGATTTAATGTGATGCTCTCTGGTATCTGTTATATGTATATTCTCTATCTATCAGGCTACTTTTATAGCACGCTTAATTACTGCATGTTTTATAACTCTGGCTTCTGGACAATAAATTCTGATCTGGATCTTGTGTTTTCACACTGAAGTTAGTAGTTACATAAATGTCCAAAATACATTTAAAATCTTTTGGAAAACAATGAGTATATAGCAATAAGATTATATATATTTCCTGTAAATAACATTTTTTGGGGAAGTCTGGTTTCATAGTTACAAGGGCACATACATAGATCGTTTTGCTTTCTTTTGGCAGAGAGAAGTATACATGAATGGTTTTGTATAAGAAGGGAAAAAAACTCACACAGCACATTCTTTTAGGAAATGCTTTCTGTAACATTGGTTTAAAGTTTTACACCCTACATTACTTATTATCCAAAGTTCACTAAAAAAATTGGGATTTGAGTCCCTTCAAAATTATGATGTTTAAAAATGCCTTAAGTTCTTATTTATATTTTCTTATATCCGAAATAAGTGTGTTGTTCAACTGGCAGCGTGAGACAATCCCGAGCCTCAACTACCAGGGGGCTCGTCTGAAACATAAGGATTTATTTATTTATCTTATTAATGAACTTCATCTTTCTGAAATGTCAGACCTTTGTTTTTCCCAAGTTACTGAATGCCGTATGTACTGAGATTGGCAAAGGTAATTAAAGACTTCACAAAATGTCGAAAATCCCAACTCTACCTGTCATAGCATAATGCATCCCTTCAAACTGCGGAACTGTGATTCCAGACATGACTTTGATCTGCCTGTGAGTTCAGGAAGAACTGAGAAATAGTGCTGTGTTTGCCAGCATGGTCACAGCGGATGAGCTACCTAGTCCTCTTCGATCTGACTTAATTACTTACATAATTATAAATCGTAAATGAAAAGAATTCAGAGGACATTGAGTCTAGTGTTTGACTGAATGTTACTATCCTGTCTGTACTTATATCCTTGAATATCATCTGTTTAAGTACTTTCAACGATGCAGTTGATCATTTATAAGCCAGACACAATATGGGTTTTCATATATGGCCAAGACAGTCTAATGACTACACCACCAACAAAAACAAATAGAAAACACTGGACAAACCAGGGTTTAATTTCAAATGCTGTGGCCTTGGGCACTATATTTAATTTTTTTGAGCCTCAATTTCATTCTCTGTAAAATGAGATCAAGGGATAATGGTGAAGATTTGCATTTATGCATGCAAAGTGCTGAGTGTATAAAATACATAACACTTCATAAGCATTAGCTAAAGGATGATGATTCCTTTAAATCTCTTGCAGTATTAGCTACCGAATGTTGGTACTTTCAGGAAAATCAAATAGACAGTAGTTTTTATTTGTTAGAAAAGGAGGAGATGTGATTTAGTCATTTCCTCCTTCTATTTTAAAGCTTTGGAGAACCCCAGATGATGAAAACTACAGCTTAGGTATTTCATGACTACTGATTTTCTGTGGCCAGAAAAAATTAGTGCAGTGGTGGAGCTACCCCCTTGTTTTAGTAGCTTTTTCCTTACCTCCTCCTTCTCATCTAACAAATGTAGTTTCTCCTAAATGATACAGAATGTGTCCACGTTTCACAATTCTGCTTCACTGCTTGGCCATGCAATACTCAGGTTTCTGGTCTGCTTTACTTAGCCCTTGTATGTAGCTGGTGCTTCTTTTGGAGTCAGGTCTCCCAGACAATGGCTTCATCATCCTGTGATCCAGCCCAGGGCAAAACAGGGAGGCTTGCTTACAGAAGAGCAGTGGGCCTCTTCTCTTCTCCACCTGCCATTTTGGAATGCTCCATTGGCACCCAGAAGTATAAAGTTATGGACATCTCCTTCCATTAGTGCCATTTCGTCATTGTTCAATCAGAGTGCTGTTTTAGAACTAAATTTCTCTTCTGCCCTTATCTCTGATACTTTCTTTTAAACTTCCTTTCTTGACTTGTATAATCTACTTAATCCCTCCATTAAGTTTATATCTTCTGTGCTGGAGAGTCCAACCTTGTCAAATAGGAACACATGGAGATGGATGGATAAAGAAATTATGAAAATCACTCCCATGTTATACAGTAGCATTATAAATCCAGTTGAATCAGTATATGGAACAACAACAAAAACAACAATAGGGGCCCCACTTGCTGTCTGTCTTTTGTAATGGTCCATTTTGCAAAAGCTGGGATTTGTTCCAGTCCCACTTCTCGTTCCCTCCTTGTCTGAGAGATTACATTCTAGGGAATGGTGGAGTCATCAGCGCTAAAGGAAAGGGGTGGGACAGCAGTCAAGTGACGAGTAGGTGAGGGCTTATGGGTGGGATGTGGAAATGCTGTACCTTAAGGCTGCACCAGCCCCCCAAAGCCATCATAATCCTTTGCATGAGGCCAGAGCTGCTTGCTGAACTCTCAAGAGATCAGAGTTTGATGTGAAGGTACAGCTGTAGGTCTTTATTATGCCGTTAGTTGTGTAACAAGAAAATAGCTCCTAAGGGGAAAATAAAAATTTCCCACTATAAATAATTTTTTATATGAGACTCTATGTCCAAATGCTAATATATACATTTTCAGGTGTAGTTTTGGTATTTTATTTATCTCATCAACCTAACTACTATTCCCTCTTGTTTCCTAGCAATGAAGTTGGAGCAGAAGCTGGAAACAGGCTGCGCTAAAGTTTTCTGGAATGCTGGTGCTAATCACTTGCTAGATTTGATGTTTAAAATTTTTTTTTCCTATGAGTGTTTCCTTTATGAACTGCAGTAGAAGTAAAAAAAAAAAAAAAGTGTCCTGCAGGCATATAACATCACAGTACCCTACTAATACCCAGCGTAGAAAAGATTTATCTATAGCTTCTTGCACCACTGTTAGAGCCTTTAATGACTTCTATTAAGCTGACAACAATATTAACATGCCCCTATATTTAGCTGCCAAATAAAGAAGAATCATGGGTAAATAGAAGAATGGTTGTGACTATTTTTCAACACCACTTTTATTTAATGCATACATTACTTACTGAATCAGGTTTTATTTCCCTTTAGATTGATTGGTTGATTTTTTTATGTGTTTAAAAAAATGAGCAACTTTTAAGAAATGAGCCCCTGCCTGCTTTCAGGGGATGCTAATATTCAGAGGTTCATTGTGGTGATCTTGAACATGAGAAAGTTGCCATTTCACATAACTCACACAGTTTTCCTGTTCTGTTTGGGTTCCATGTTACCGGGACAGACCCCATACTAGGGGCAGCCCAGTGATGTTGAGCTTCGTGTTGTTGGGATGTTCTTCACATTGTGGTTTCTCTGTTGTCACACAATTCTTGTGAAGGCTACTTCTGAGTCAGTTCATTCTTATAATCTTGGGAGCAGTAAAGACCACAGAGCAAAACCATACTTTGATGACAATCCTGGGAGCCCACTCTACAGCATATCTAATGCTCACCATATTGGCCATTGGTCCTCGTCTTGTCTACCTGGTTTCCTTCTTCTAACCTTCTGTCCATCTGGGAAGCCTAGAGCAATATGCACTAATCAGGAAACCATGGCAATTCCAGACAGGGAGCTCCTGGTAGCAGGTGAGCCTTCGTAATGGCTCCTCTACTTACTTCTTGCACATAATCCTTGTTCCCTTGGAGCCAGCTCTGTTTGAACCACAGTTCTCTTAGACCACTGCTGCATTACCCCACAATCCTGCCCAAGGCAAAGCAGGGAAAGTTGTCTACCAAAGAACAACTGTTCTTTCTCATTCTCTACCTGCCATTTTTGGAATGATCTACTGTCAGTCATGGATTGGTGCCTGGAAATACAAAGCTTTCCTATCATCTCCATTAGCATATGAAGAGCAGCAGAGCTTTGGTAAAGCTCTCTGTTCATCTGTCTCTCCCAAAAAACACTACTTCTCTATCAACCTTCTACACGGTGTGAGGCATCACTTTAGAGTATTAGTAACAATTTCATACTCCCTGTGTTCTTCTCATGTGCCAGGCCTCACACCAAGTGCTTCATTTGAATTTAACCTAACCTTCACAATGAGACTGCAAGGTAGGTAATATTATTACTTATATTTTATGTTTGAGAACAGATTCTAAAAGATTAAATTGAGCTCATAAATGGTAGAGGCAGAATTCAAATCCAGATACTCTGACTCAAAGACCACCCATTTATTAAACCTTTCATTCATTCATTCTTTTTTTTTTTTTTTTTTTTTTGGTGACCTTGGGTATGAAAAGTTGAGTTTATCACACTTTTCAGTTCATGGCAGACTCCTGTAATAAGTCTGGGCAAGTCCTTCCCCAGTGTATTTATTGGTTAGATGGTTGATTAACTTTATAAATAATATCTGTCTTTCCTTCCCATGCTATAGACATACATTCTTATGTGTTTAATGTATAGTCCCTACTTACATGTTTTGAAGATGTGCATTGCTTTTGTCTGAATATGTAAGAATCATAAATGATATTGTTTCTATTTTGTTTCTTTTTTTTTTCTCCCAGCACTATGGCTTTTAAGTTCTTGATTTATTTTTTAAGATTTATTTATTTATTTGAGAGAGAGTGAGCAGGGAGGGGGCAGAGGAATTCTGAGAGGGAGAGGGAGAGAAACTCAAGCAAACACCCAGTTGAGCACAGAGCTGGATGTGGGGCTCGATCCCATGACCCTGAGATCATGACCAGAGCCAAAATCAAGAGTCAGAAGTTTAATCTACTGAGCCACCCAGTCACCCTGGTTTTAAGTTCTATTCACAATCCTCTGTAAATGTCAAATGGATTATTTCTGCACAGCTGTGTTGTATGTTTTCATCACTTATCACTCAGCCGCCTGTCCATTGGTGGTCTTCCAAGTTGTTTTCCTCTATCAGCTATGGTTGTGATGCACCACCTTACATATACTCCCTTGTGGATTTTTCTTTTTAAGATTTTATTTATTTATTTGAGAGAGAGAGAATGAGAGGAGGAAGGTCAGTGGGAAGAGAAGACTCCCTACCGAGCAGGGAGCCTGATGTGGGACTCGATCCCAGGACTCCAGGATCATGACCTGAGCTGAAGGCAGTGGCTTAACCAACTGAGCCACCCAGGTGCCTTCCCTTGTGGATCTTTTTGAGAATTTCTCTGAAGTATATACCTAGGATTTGAATTGTTTAATCAAAAGTACTCATGTATTTGATTTGACTAAATCCTCTCAGAATGCTGCTCTTTAGAGTGGACATACCCATTTTTTTTTTCCCCCACCAACAATGCTTTAGGGCTCTTCTATCCCTGGGTTCTTCTCTACTTTTGAAGGTCTGAACTTTGAAACACGCTATACCATCATTAAAGGCAACTTCTAAGTTGGGAGTTTTCTTTGAAATGCTGTCCTATTTATCTTAAGTTTTCCAATTCTCAGAGCCTTTTGTACTCCAACTCATGACAGATGTCAGATATTGGCTTCATTTCATTGATGGAAAACTTGAACCACAAGAGTAATTTGACTGAGGTCACCAAAGTAGTGAATGACAGACCAAGAACAAAGTCTTTTGATTTTCCTACTGTGCTTTTCTAGCCAAACAAGCTATATCTGAACATCACAGTCTAACCTATTTATTCAGCTTCTCAGCAAAAATCTTGATTGTTGAGTCTTAAGAGCATGAATACAGGAAGGGCAAATGTTGGTTGTGGAAACAACATGGAGAATTGGGTGCTTTTTAGTTTGGTTGGTATCAGCTTTCAGTACCCTGAGTCGCTTAGGAGCACAATGGCTGTCTGTAAGGAGGAAGAGGGTGAGAACAGTGATACGGAATGGACAGATATTGAGGTTGTCTATTTGGATCCCCCAGGAAGCAGATTCTGAGAAAGATTTAGTGTAAATAGTTTCTCTGGACGATGACCACAGAGAGAGTGAAGAAGCTAGCTAGGGAAGAGAAGGAAACAGAATCCATTACAAAGCCAATTACTGCAATGGGTAACTGGAGCTCATTCACATGGGGAGTTCAAGGATACAAGGTTGAACATGTCTCACAGTTAATTCAACCCAGAGGAAAGGAAAATGGTAAACATTCTAAAGCTTGACTATCAACCTTCACAGAGCTGTGATCTCTTTCTCTATAAAGATTTTTCTTCTTTTTTTTTTTTTTTTTTACTTTTCATTGTGCAAACCTAATAGGACTTATTATTTTCTTGTGATATTTCAATTTGGAAAATATGGAAAGTCTAATGAATATTGTTCTGTATGATCTTTGAAATAAAGTGCAAGAAGGAAGAGTTAGTTGAAAGCTTAATAATAAAGGAATACTTTCAGAATTGCATTTATTGGACAAACAGAAAATTTAGGCTTGGGAACAAAAATCCTTCTGGACTGCCATGGATTTCCACATTTGAAAGAAACTGTATCATGGGGCACCTGGGTGGCTCAGTGGTTTAAAGCTTCTGCCTTCGGCTCAGGTCATGATCCCAGGGTCCTGGGATCGAGCCCCACATCGGGTTCTCTGCTCCATGGGAAGCCTGCTTCCTCCTCTCTCTGCCTGCCTCTCCGCCTACTTGTAATCTCTGTCTCTCAAATAAATAAATAAAATCTTTAAAAAAAAAAAAAAAGAAAGAAACTGTATCATTAGAAATTAAATCAACTATATGAGAAGATAACTTCATTTGCAAGAGGAAGAGATTGTTTTGCTTAGAACAAGTCTAGAGTCCGTGGAATAATTGAATAGTAATTAGGAAATATTACTGAATTTGTTTAAAATATATATTACATGTTGGGGACTTCATGTTTCTATGGTATGCTGTAAAATTCAACATTATTTCCTCTCATGTTTTAGAATGTTCTTCTTAAGTAATTAATTAATTTAAAGATTTTATTTATTCAACAGATTGAGAGAGAAAGAGCACAAGTAGGCAGAGCATCAGACGAGAGAAAGGAAGAAGCAGATGCCCTGCTGAGCAAGGAGCCTGACATGGGATTCGATCCCAGGACCCTGGGATCATGACCTGAGCTGAAGGCAGCCTCTTAGCCAACTGAGCCACCCCGATGCCCCAATAATTTATTTGACCAGAAACTGATTTTTCTTCTTTAATTTATACTTTAATGAATACACCTTAATTTCTTATTAACATTTTTCCTCATGGATTTATTTGGAATTGTTCAGCCTCACTTAAGCACCTGAGTCCAGATTTTCCCAAGTGGGATAAAATTTAAATATGTATGTTTTCCTCCAAGTTTTCAGTCCCACCACTAAGCACAGATTTTACTTGTAGAAAAAGAGCTAAATCTCTAAACAGAAATGTATTGAACTGCTATGGTAATTTTTGTTGAAGGACCAACCCTAACCTCCAATAAACAGGAGTCTGGATGTATGACATCTTTAGGGTTTCTAAAAATACAAGTTGAAAATTGTAGTTCCATTTGGTTTTATCTTTTCCTCAAGAAGGGTAAAGGAAAAAAATGAACAGTTTATCATGTTGATAAAACAATGAAAAGCCATGTGAAATAAGTTATTTGGAAGCAACATTTAGCTCAGAGCAGCCAATATTAATAGTATTAGGGTGCATTTTAAATTGATAATATTTAATTATTTTTGTTTTAAGCTTGTCTAGAGAAGATTTCATCTTTGACAAACACACACACACATACGCAGTTATTCCAAACATTATATTTATTGCAAGAGTGGGTGTTGAGGTGCTGTGCTCACGTAGGCAAGAAAATGGAGCAGTTTTAGGTAACAACTTTCCAGACAAACTAGCTGTGACTTCTTAGGTACCCATCAGTCTACCTTTATGAGGCTCAGTTTTTTCATCTGCAAAATACGTGCCAGACTAGATTTTTCTTCACTTGGTTTCCTTCCAACCAAAATAATTATGTGAATTTATTACTTGGTTTTAGGAAATTCTCCTCTACATTCTGAAACTGAGGAACAAAATAATTTGGGAAATATGGCATATTTTAGCCCTCTGGGTCTCTTAAAATCTTGGCGGTATCTTTCACAGTGACCAAGACCACTTGTATCGGAATGAGTGAGGCTGTTTTTTTAAAAGATCATTTTCTGTTCCTTTCCCATACCTATTGAATTAGAATATATGAAGTGGGGCTCAGAAATCTGCTTTTTAAATAAAATCTATGGATTATTACTATGCGGATGAACTTTTGATAAGTGTAGATTCTCAGATCAGTATAATAGGTAAGCAGGAAGAATAAGGATATACTCCATGGCTAAGATAAGCATGTGATGACATTGTTTGTTTTACTTATGGTGGGAGGGAAAAAGAGAGAACCTATATTAAGTGTTTTTACATTAATCGAGTAAGGGCAAATAGTATAATTAAACTGAATACAGTTAGGCTAAGTATATGATAGAACTAGCAAATGATCTAGAACTGGAAATATGCTACTGAGTTTTGAAGAAGAGAAAAGTACTCACCATTGTTTCAGTTGTA